ATGAACGTACATATACTTGAAAATGGAGCTACATGTGCGTGCACCGCGTGTCAGGGATCGATCTGTGTGCAGGTTCTACTGTGCGGCATGATCTCTTTTCGGTTGAGAGTTGATGCTCTTTTCTTCATGACTTACAATAATGCCCAAATCATGCGTCTTGGTGGACGTACTAGAAATTCTGCGAAAGAACTGGGATTGAAATTCTTTGAGTTTCCGAAGAATGAGAGTATTCTTCAAGTTCGTGCTGTCATTCGCAGCTATGCGTGCTATGGATGCATACAGTGCGCGCACTTTGGTATGTCCTCTCCACGGTAATACATCACAGACATCAATATTCATCAGATGCTAATGAGTCATGACGACTCGTCCACTTTTAAAACTGCAGACTGGACTCCCAGGAAAAATAGATACAAAAACTGTGTTTTATTAACACAAAAGCGTGTGTTGCAAAGGAGATATTGATATGTGCCAGTTTTATTAGACTTGGTTCTTCTGAATAGGAGTCAATATGAGAAAAATCAGCACCGTTGGAGTTGGTCTTAAGAAACCATAGAAGACCCTACTATGTGTGCATGTATTTGCTGCATACACGTACATGTATTAATTATAAAAAAGAATAAATAAATTGACTGAGCAAAATTCTGTACTTTCTACTTCCAGTTAATTTCTTTGTTCATCATCATAAGTCATAGACATACAGGTAACCAGAACATGTTCATACCTGGGATTGATTGTATTTAATACTTTAAAAGTTGTTCCTTGTTTTTTACAATTTTATTGTGAAAGTTATTAAACTATATGTATCTTCTGCTTATCAAAAGTCCTTGCCAGATGTGGATTCCTATGTCAGCTTACTTCAGAAGACACTGGATAGATCAGTGGATGTAGATAGTAGCAAACAAATCACCACCACTGGACAAGAGGCAGGCTTTGCTGGTTCAGAGAAGACACCTGCTGGTGAGGGTAAGCTACGTGTAGGGATAACTTGATAAGTCTAACAGTCATGCAAAATAAAGAGGACTTTAAAAATACAAAATGTACATACACTCGGAAGTGGTCAAGTTTTATGGGCTCTTTCAAACTTCCCAACTACAGAGATATGTATACATGGAAGTATAGACTAATCGGATCGGACTCCATAAACTGTGGTGACATCGTACTCGCACACATTCTTTATGAAGTGGCCTCGCCAGTGGCACCCTCCTAAAATATGGTTGAATGAAGTAAGATGCAAGGGGACGGTGAGTGTATGACAAACACTTCTTGTTATAATCCTCAGATGATCGGTTTTATCAGGCAATAGATAAAACCCACCACAATTAAGAAAGTAATATGCAAGGGGACGGTGAGTGTATGACG